GATCGAATACATCGTCTAAAAAAAGAGAGCTTTTTTCTGCCAAATTTTATGTTTAAGGTCAAGACATATCTAAATTTTTAAAGAACCGCACTAATTTTAAGACTAATACACCAAGGATGATATTATCAAAATGCTGGACTTTTTGTTCGTCAACATATTTGTTGAATTTGCTGGATTGGTATTTCAACAGACAGTTCAAAGTGTACTTATTGTGCACCCCTTCTGGTCAACTTGTTTTTGTAATCTAATAATGTAAAATTCATCCAAAAACTTGTCAATACAAAAAGAAAAAAAACATTTTGTAAAGATCTTAAATTTCACTTTCAGTTGTATTGATGATGTCCTTGCAGTTTATAACCCATATTTCAGTGAAAAGTTAAATCACAAAAATACTGAACTCCGAGGAAAATTCAAAACGGAAAGTCCCTAATCAAATGGCAAAATCAAAAGCACAAACACATCAAACGAATGGACAACAACTGTTTATGATTGCATCTCGTACATCTCAGTGATTTTTAAATTAAGGATACTTTCAAAAAAAGAAGGTCTTCTTCATATCTTGGTATATTTGTTCTCGATATTGATACCCATGGACAACTTCAAACAACAATTTATGACAAACGTGATGATTTTACGTTTCCAAACGTCAACTTACCATTTTCCTATAGCAGTAGCATACCCTCTGTTCCATCGTATCACGCTTCATATCTCAATTGATACGTCTGTAACCATTATAAACTAAATTTGCAAAGCGATCATGGATTGAACAATACTTTGTTAAATTTGATTAGTGTTGTTTTTTGCAGCATCGGATCTTTCTGTAATCCACTCAATATCACTATAATTGTCGACAATTTTTTGAATTTTATTTCTGCACTTTCAGGGCAGTGATGGACTTGTCATGGAACAACGTAACTGTAGATACGAAACCATTTATAATCAACGATAACGTTGTTTTTTATCAATCAGTTTCTATGCGATTTGAATGAATTTTAAACTACTTTTCGATAGAATCGTATCGGAATTTTAGTATTTTTTAAAGAATGTAACTTTTCTTCTTTTCGATTTCAGCTATAACAACTGTTTTAGGAGACATAAAGGGCCGGTTTGAAAGCAAAATATCTGTTCTATCTGCAATATTCTTATTTGCAAGTGACAATCTTGATTCACGCCGTTCATTCCGGTCAACCCAGTTTGCAGACCCAGAACTCTTTTTCCGGATTTAATATTAATTTGAAAGTGGTCTCGTCCTACATATGCTTTGAAAATTTGCCAGTGGTCTCGTCCTACATATGCTTTGAAAATTTTTCACTCGTATTAATCATACTCTGCCCAAACTCGACCATCTAAATTCTGAAAAATCTCGTGCTTGTTCAAATTTTAATCTAGGTTCCGGGGTTTCAAAGCTAATGGTCTCCAGTTGAAAAACGATAAACAATAGTCGCAATGGTACTAGGTGTGAAATTGATTTAGACTAAAGAAAAAAAGGGAAAATACATAGAAAATTATAAATTATAAGAAAGGATATTTAATAACTTATAAACGAAAGAATACAAACCCCAAAAGGGTTGCAAATATCTATCAAACCTGCAGATATCAAAAGCAGACAACCACCATATATAACTGAATTATCCCCTAAATATGAAAACTTATGCTCGGTTTTTAGAGGCCAATTATTAACAAGAAGAAAGATTCATATCAAAATGTCATTTATTAAAACGTGATACACAACTATTTACAACAATAGGCGAGTTCATCTCACTGAGTGTAACATTTAAATGGACCTGATTTAACGTCTCTGTTAAAAAAAAAGATTAAAAAAAGATTGGGTACACAAAAGACCACTAACACAAAGATGGCAATGTATCAAATCATCAATAAAATTCAACAATAATGAAACGCATATCTTATAAACAATGTGGAAAGTTATTGGGGTTGGTGGAGGTTTAAAATATTTTCAAGAGAAACGTTTTGAACCGTTCTTGTCTGAAACGACTTTAAACGTCATAACACCTCTGTTAATTATTTGGTTCGCTAAATATAAAAGAGAGGCGAAAGATACCAAAGAGACATTCAGACTCATAAGTCGAAAATAAACTGACAGCGCCATGGCTATAACGATTGAATAATTATTTTATACACACTTTAATCAAATTGAATGTTTTATTCAATAGGAAGTTATCCACATGGACATAAATGAATTTATTTTCGTAAATTTGATTTTACGTGATCAGATTGCAAATGTTTATTAAATCTTTGGATATCATAAGCATAAAACCATCAATTATGAGTGAATGCATTACCGCGTATGTTAGGACACAACTCAGTTTTTTGAAAGCCACTTAGTAACAAGGAAATATTCTAATCAAAATGACATTTATTAAAAACGACTTGCAAAATGATTAACAACAACGTTACGATTTCAATTTAATTGATTTAACCATTATATATCTTTGTGGTGAAAAAATATTATATTTGTTCCGTGGAACACTGTACCTCGCATTCGATTGATGCTGTCAATGTAAAAGCGTGATGTTGACTTCCAAAAACTATCATAGTGTAACTAATCCCTTTATGTGAATATCAAAAGACTTGGCGTAACCGATCAACGACTGGATTAAACGAATACGCAGCACAAGTTTAACTAATTGTGGCGTTCGGTCACAAGTGATCTTATTTTTTAAAATTCAAATACGGCAATAAGTATACTTTTTCTTACATAGAAACAGAATATCAAATGTATTTTCTGTGTAACTGGAGTTTGTTGGATTCACTTTATGTACTGTCAATTTCGCTGTACTTGTTTTGGCGTACGAATATATGTTTATTGCACACATTTGTTAAAAGGGCAGATCGTCACTTTGAGAAGATTAATGCAAATTTTGCAATTATTGTGAAGCAAGAAATTGTTTTAAATGTACCCAGACTTTACATTGTGTATATGTGACACACTTTATGTATCAATTATTTGTAAATATCAAGGCGCAAATCTTCAGTTGGAAGTCTTAGATGAGTGTCCGGTAATGGGCGGGGAGAGTCTCAACAGTGAAAATAAACGAATTATTTCACATGTGAAATTATCGGAATTTATTGCGATCCGAAATTGATATCATCTATAAAATAAATCCATTCTGATATAGCCATTAATCAGTCCATTTTTCAGTAAAGTACCATTCATGAAGGTTTGACAAAGTTCTTTATATGACAACAAATTGGAAATAATGCAAATGTAAGCTATCAGCAAAAAATTAAAAATGAAAAAAAAACCAATTGCTTCAGATGTTACTCCTTAATTATAAAGTGTTTCTCTGAGTTTTATAAAACTCTATCACGTTATTGATGTCTTACTAAATTTTACATGTTTAACCCCGTAATGTATCTGAATATTAATTGAAATCAAAACGAAAACAAATAAAATACAGGCGTCACAAAAATGTGACTTTTATATCTGCCAAAGGCTGCGTTTGAAATATATATTGTGATTTGAAAGTATAAGAATGGAATAAGCATTCACCTGTCTATAACTGAATGAACAGAAAAATCTACGAAAAACATTGAATTTATGCAGAATTATTGCCTTTAGCATACTGTAGAAGCTCATCAAATATATCTTTTTGGTGAAAAAATATTATACCTGTTTTACAATTACAGTGGTGAGAAATTAAATACAGATTTAAACTGGATTCGGTAAGGCTAATTTTTTCTCAATCTTTACTATTCAGTGTTATGTTCTTGTTTAATTTGTATGACTTTTTTTTTATAATTGCCATGATGTTGTTAGTCAATGCGTTTTGCTTTTTAATAAAATTTTAGTAGAGAGTTCCGTGGAACACTGTACCTCGCATTCGATTGATGCTATCATTGTAAAAGCGTGATGTTGACTGCCAAAAACTATTATAGTATAACTAATCCCCGTATTTGAATATCAAAAATAATACTTTACGTAACCGAACGACGCATGGATTAAACGAATGCGCAGCACATGTTAAACTAATTGTGGCATTCGGTCACAAGTGATCTTATTATTTAAAATTCAAATACGGGAATACGTTATACCTTACATAAAAACAGAATAGCAAATGTATTTTTTGTGTAACTGGAGTTTGTTGGATTCACTTTCTGTATTTTCAATTTCACTGTACTTTTTTAGCGTAGGAATATATGTATATTGCACACATTTGTTGAATGGACAGACCGTCACTTCGAGAAGATTAATGCAGATTTTACAATTATTGTGAAGCGCGAAATTGTATTAAATACACCCAGACTTTAAATTGTGTATATGTGACACACTTTATGTCTCAATTATTTGTAATACCAAGGCGCAAATCTTCAGTTGGAAGTCTTAAATGAGTGTCCGAAATCCATTTTGATATAGCCATTAATCAGTCCATTTTTCAGTAAAGTACTATCCATGGAGGTTTGACAAAGTTCTTCAAATGACAACAAATTAGAAATAATGCAAGTGTTTGCTATCAGAAAAACAATGAAAAATGAAAACAACAAGTTGGTTCAGATGTTATTTCTTAATCATAAAAAAAAAATTATCCAAGTTTCATAAAACTCTCTGACGTTATTTATGTCTTAATTAGTCTTTACATGTTTAACCCCGTAATGTATCTGAATATTAATTGCCAAACAAAACGAAAACAAATAAAATTCAGGCGTGACAAACATGTGACTTTTATATCTGCCAAAGGCTGCGTATGAACTATATATTGTGCTTCGAATGTATTAGTACGGAATAAGCATTCACCTGTCTATAACTGAATGTATGTAGTAACAGTCCAACATAAACTTTGTGCACTTTCGTAGAGCAACAAAACGTTTTAAAATTTCAAACCAATGCATGCATCGGATCATTTGTTTTGCATTATAATATACATTTTCCTGTTTTTCTATTACGTATCGTTCATCCACCTGTGTATTACCCTTTAAAAATGCAACGTTTGTGTATATTTCCAGGAATTTGCTGAGTGACGATGAATGGCATTTCGATAACGTTATGAACAGAAAAATCTATGTAAGATAGTGAATTAACGCAGAATTACTGCTTTTATCATACTGTAAAAGCTTATCAAAAACATTAGGCTTATAAGTTTGTACTTCAGAAAGCTTAAAAAACCCAATTCATGCACTCATTGTACATACCAGGATTGAAATTGTGTACGCCAGACGCGCGTTTCGTCTACAAAAGACTCATCAGAAACGCTTAGATCAAAACATTAAAAGGCCAAACAAAGTACAAGTAAAAGAGCATTGAGGGGCAAAAATTCCGAAAGGTTTTGCCAAATACAGATTAAGTAATATATTCTTTGGGTGGAAAATCGTTAGTATTTCGAACAAATAAAGGTTTGTATCTGATAAATCAATGTACCAAATGTATTCATGACGAATATATTTTTTCTCAAACTGTTCCCTCGACCTTTTAATTTTAATATTTAGATTGAGAATGGAAACGGGGAATGTGTCAAAGGGACAACAACTAGACCAAAGAGCATAAAACAGCCCAAGGCCACAAATGGGTCTTCAATACAGCGAGAAAATCCCACACCCGGAGGCAGGCTTCAGCTGGCATCTAAACAATAATGTATACTAGTTCAGCGCAAATGGACGTCATACTAAACTTCGAAACATATAAATGAACCAAAACCAAAAAAACATACAAGACTAATAAAGGCCAGAGGTTTTCCTGTCTTGGGACAGGCGTAAAAATGCGCGGGTTTAGACATGTTTTGTAAAATCTCACCCTCCCCTATACCTCTAGCCAATATGGAATAAAAAAACACACAGCAACACGCACAGTAAAACTAAGTTCAAAAGATTCCGAAGTATTATCTGCATTATATTATTGTTATTATTATCATATGTATTGTTTGTATTCTTACGCATTTGATGCACGAAGTTCATAAAGTTTTTTTTTCTTAAATATGAACATTATACTAGTATAACATGTATAATTATCAAGGAAAATGGAATCCGTAATTTTTACGAAAAAAAGAAAATGTTTTGAATAGAACATGAATACAACTTAGGACAGCCCTCATACAACCCGCCGAAGGTCGAAGGTTCTCTCCGGGCATTCCGGCTTCCTCTACCAATAAAAATTGACCGCCAAGAAATAGCACAAGAGTGTTGAAAGTGTCGTAAAACACCAATCAATCAATCATACAACCCGAATATTACTATCTTATTGATGCTGTAATCCATGATAGTCCTGAAATCTTTGAATGCATTCGTTACTTGTTTAAGTCGAATTTTAAATAGTAACGAACTACAATCACAAGTTTGCATTGCTTAAGATTTTCCAATAGCGCTTAATGTAAATACAACTTCCCTATTCTTGTTTAGTATGGCATTGTCTTTTTTCATGTGGTCTTGTATCTTGTACACGTCTACCCTATATCCTGTCATTTGAATTAAAAAGCAATCCGATTCTCGAAGATGTTTTACCTATCATAACTAAATATACCTCTATAAAACCAACAAATCCCAGAAACAAGATGAAATAAACGTTCATTTGTATAACAGTTGTCATAATTTTTGCTTATATCTAAAAATAATATAAAAGTGCAACAGCAATTTATACTTGGCTTGAAAAGGATGTTTTTTACCTAATATATAATCCGGGATAATATTAACATTTCCCTATGCAAAGGTATATTAAAAAAAATTCAGTTAAACAAAAAGTAAAAATGTACTATGTTGTGAATAAATAAACTCATCATAGATAACAAGATGTGACGGACATGTGAACTATCAATTAATTAAACAAACCACAACACATAATTTGACATATGATTCGGTTTTATTGGGCATGTTCTCTGTAATTATAATTTGCTCATCTGAAAATTTGTCTTATGTCTAGAACGGTTTGAAGTGTGAGGTGAAATGTCAACAATTAGTCAAAAGAATTTATGCAATTTGACGTGTTTACATAAACAAAGAAGTGAACAAGCGATGACCTCTCTTCAGCTAATATCAGATTTACTGCAAGTTCTAGGCTACATCAGTACACATTTGTACCTCTTCCCAATTCAACCGCATTATTTGTCTAATTATGTGTTGTGGTTTGTATAATCTATTGATATTTCACATGTCTCTGACAACAATATACATTATAACGTTTGTTTAATTGTTAAAAAAAATAAATTTTTTAATGTTAGTATGCATAAGGAAATTTCTATTTTATCCGGAAATATATTTCAGGTCAAAAACATCCTTTTCAAGAAAAGTATAAATGGCTGCTGCACTTCTATGTTATTTCATATATCGGCAACACGATGACAACTATGGTACAAATAAACTCATCATAGATACCAGGATGTAAATTTGTATTCGCGCCAGACGCGCGTTTCGTCTACAAAAGACTCATCAAGTGACGCTAGAATCAAGAATATATATTTCATCTTGTTTCTGGGATTTGTTGCTTTTATAGAGGTATTTTGTTTAGTTATGGTTGTTAACATTTCTTCCAGAATCGCATGTATTTTGATAGAAATGATAGGATATAGGATAGACGTGTACAAGATATAAGACCACAAAAAAAAAAAATAAAAAAAAAATAGCCAAACCAAGCAAAAAAGGGTAAATTGTTTTTATATAACGCGTTATTGAAAAATCTTAAGCAATGCATAAGTGTAGTTCATTCCTTTTTTAAAAGTCAGCTGAAACGGATAAGGAACACATTGAAGGTTTTGTTATTGAAAGACTCCAGGACCATCATGAATCACAGCATCTATAAGATAGCAACAGTTTGGTAGTATGAGGGCTTTCCTGAGCTATATTCATGTTCCATTTAAGACAATTTCTATTTCTACGATAAAATAAAGGATATAATTTTCTGATAACTATACATGTTATATTAGTATAATGGTCTTATTAAACGAGGTAAAACACTTTATCAATTTCGTGCGTTAAAAAGCGTAAGAATACAAACAATGCATATGGCAATAATAACAATAATACAATGCAGAAAATATATGTATTTTTAAAGTAAAACGTAGAGGGAACAATGATAGAAAAGTTATTTGTCATGAATACATTTTGTGCATTGACTTATCATAAACATAAAGACAATAACTAATAATTAAACAGTAGGCTAATGGCATTAAATTTATATTAATTTCGTATATTTCGTAGATTAGTCGGTTAGTATCGGATAACAATTCGTCGTCACGCAGCTTAATTTCGAAAATATACACCAACGGTGGGAATTCTATGCGACTGTCATACAAGTGAGAGTTTAAGCTAGCTATAAAACCAGGTTTAATCCACCATTTTCTACACAAGTAAATGCCTGAACCAAGTTAGGAATATGACAGTTGTTTTCCATTTGTTTGATGTGTTTGAGCTTTAGATTTTGCCAATTGATAAGGAACTTTCCGTTTTGAATTTTCCTAAGAGATCGATATTTTTGTTGATGCTAAGGTAGGGGGAATTAATGATTTCGAAATCAAAATCCTCTCGCTTGTCATAGATTCTGGTACTAGAGTTATAAGTCTAAAAATGAGGCGGAGGAAGCCGTGTCTGTTAGTTCTGGAGGAAATATTACTGGACCCAAAAAGAAAAGTTGGATTGTTGATGGAAAGAACATCATCAATATATCTGAATGTGAAATTAAATGATCTGGCTTCTTTGATCTTCTTGTTTTTGAAAAGTGTCCAAAGGAGGTCGACAAAGAGAAGCGTACAGTTCGTTCCTATAGGTATGCCGACCATTTGTTAAAAAAGTCTACCTCCAAATTCAACAAATATGTTGTCAATAAGAAACTCCAGCATACAGATCACTTACGTTCATTTATAAAAAGATGCAGGCTTATTTCATCAGAATACATTAGAAGCACAATGCATATTTCATACCCAGCCAATGCCAGATATGAAAGTCACATGTTTGACACTCCTGCGACCAAATGGACGTATACGTATTTTTTGTTCGCTTCCCTTTTAAATAATAGAAGCTAGAATAATGGGTTAAACATGTAAAAGTTATTAAGACATCAATTACTTGAAAAGATTTGATTAAACTCGGATAAAAGCTCTTTTCATGATTAAGAGATAACATCTGAAACAAAATATCAAAAATATATTTTTTCTATTTTTTTCCCATTTTGTCTTCTTATATTTAAAAATTTGCATAAGGTTTGGGTTATATCAAGAACTTTGTCAAAAATTAATTGATAGTTACAAAACTTTGACAAAAGCTTTTTGATTATGAGGAAAAAGCATTATAATTTTTCCGTATTTTACTGTTTAAATGATTGATAGATGAATCAGTTTTCGGCAGTTTACATTACACTCTTCTTCCCTTTGGTATCTTTAGTCTCTCTTTTACATTGCTAACAGCAACTGAAGGCGAGGCACAGGGTTCCGCCGAACTCTTTTGCTATTTTTTTCATCTCATCTAATAATATAATAAAAGCAAGGAAAAGGTTTCCTATCAAAAAAAAAAGATGTATCGCTTTGTCTTTAAAGGAAATAATTCTATGATTTTCCTTAAACTTTCTTAAGGCATGCACATTTTTGTCCTTACTTAACGATAAATTTTTGGGCATGTGCTAGAATACGCTTAGATGTCTTTTGACCATCATAGGACATACCGTACTCCTAAGATACCTTCAAAATGTCTCAATCCCTTAAAATCTATTTTGAATATTGCAACGTTTGTTCAACTTGCGATTATATGAAATGACTGTTTGCTATAATAAAGTTATTTTGAGAGACATACTTTGTAATAGAAAAGAACAGCATACTCTGAAATACCTTAAAAGGAACGGACAATTACCTATGTAATTGTTTAACGCCCAGAATTTTAATCTGAAAGTAGTTAAAACCTACATAAATTGAAATATAAAAAAGTCTTTAAAAATGCTCAGAGATTTTTTTTATAAAGTGAGTTATCCAGCGACACATATTGTTGTTTACGATAATTGGACGAGTCTTTTTCAAGGTATTGTAATATTTGCATCGATGGGTATATTTTACCAAAGTTAGATAATTTGTATGAAAGACAATATATTTTTTTTGTTTCCAATATAATTTTTGGTTTGGTTACAACTGTGTTCTAATAGATTTTTATAACTACCAACAATTTGCCAAAATATTAAAAAATAACAATTTATAGCTTTTAAAAGATAATCCTGCACCCATGAAGCTTTGATATTGTTCTATTAAGAGAATTTTAGAAAAATTAAGATTCTGCGGAATTAATTCAGTGTCAATTGGCTCATTTCCGTATTTTATTTTATCCACGTTTTCCATTCTGTACTTATTTGTGGAAGGTTCTTTCTTTCTCATTTTCTGTTGGCCATTGGTGAAACATCTTTCCTTTTATTATTTCCATGTACCTTTTATTGCTTGTCTTCGTACTTGTCTAAATATGTACAAGTTAGAAATGCAATTTTTTCAAATTTTGGGGCATATAATACAATTATCAGTATATATTATATTTGATCATCATCATCATCATTAGAAGTAGCATCACTTTGATTATTATTGTTTTGTTTTCATTAAACGAACACTAAAGGTCTAGGCGCTTGTCCTAAATTTGCCATTGTATCAGCATGTGTAATCAATGTTGAATTCCATTGTGCTGTACAAAAACAATGTCCATCGGGTAAGTTTTCCGTTATTAATAAATTTGTGTACATGTTACGTTACCGGAAAAGACAATTGAACTGGAATAAATGCCAAGGTTTTTGTTATGGGACAGGCACAGTTTTATTACATGATGTTAAACTAGTATTGTGATTAGTCATTCACAATTCCAGTTATCGTGATCAATTAAGAAAAAAATGTATAAACAGTAGTCGATAAAATAGGCACTCAAAAACATCTAAACTCAATAATATCCAAATAACAGACAAACAAAACGCTTTTACGTGACAAAACAATTTACATACGATCAAAACGCGTGACAAAAGAAAATGATACCCGTGGTTCAAAAGGACGTTTTCTTTATGACGTGCGGTCAACATTGTGTTGATTGGTTTATATAAGTAAACTGCAGACAGTGAACAAGCATCTTGTCGACATTTGATTTTTTCGGCTGAATTTTCTGTGCTATTTTACTTAAACATGTTAATCCAATCAGTCAAAAAATATAGTTTCGTACAAACTTAGTTCATGTATGGAAAAGCATTCTAAAATAACATTATCATACTGCCATTAATACTTACATTGTTTTAAATGTGCGGAAAATCTTTCTCAAAAAATTATTGCATTGCTATGATTTTTTATCTAACTAATGTAAAAATCTGTATTTGATTCTTTTACTTGATGTGTAAGATAGGTGAATACATTACAGATTTTTCCAGAGTACCTGAGATCACCCCCAGTTTTTGGTGGGGTTCGAGTTGCCCAGTCTTTAGTTTTCTATGTTGTGTTTTGTGTACTATTGTTTGTCTGTTTGTCTTTTTTTTTAGCCATGGCGTTTTCAGTTTATTTTAGACTTATGAGTTTGAATTTCTATTTGGTATCTTTCGCCTCTCTTTTAAATATGAGAAATATTGTATACCAATTTTTTACGTAATTTGCAAGCTCAAACATGTCAAAGTCTTTAGATGTTTTTACTGACATAAAATGTTTGCCGTCTTTTTTTAAACTAGCCTTCTGTAGATACAATGTTAGTCTGCCGTACTAAATCATAAGCCTGCTAACTTTCATACATTTTTGCAATTACATTAAAAAACTGTTTTAAAACTAGAAATAAGAAGTTTAAAGTAAAATAACAAAAATACCGAACTCCAAGGAAAATTCAAGTGGGAAAGTCCCTTATCAAATTCGATAATTAATTAGTTAGTTACCTACAAATTAAGTCGCATTGATGTATAGAAATGCAATTTTCAACTCTGTTTTTAGGCTATTGATGCTGTCCTCATAGTTGTTATAAACGATGCGCAGCAGTGACAGTTAATGGAAAACACTAAGGTTTGTTTTTTTAAACTAAATTATTGAAAACGTTATAATTGTATTCAATTTCAGATTTGACCCTTAAAGATTCGGTATGTTCACAACTACAAAGTACGAATTTTATAAACAAGACATACCATAACATGCTTTCATGTGTGATCTTGTTTTGAATTATTATTGTGAGTTCTAGATTTTCTTAATCTATTATGTGGTCTTTATAATAACAAACTTATTATTTCTGTCATATTCTGTTAATATCTAAATATATTTTATACTTATTCCGGTATATAAATACCCAGCAGAATAACGAATTTCAATTTTGCAACGACTCATATTGAGTCACACGATACTGATCTATATGTAGCTAGCGGTTACTAACGAGGTCTTGGTTCTCCTAGTTTTCCATTCAGAAATGTATCATTTAATTCCGACAAAATTATAATCAATTAATGACCATTTTGGTAAAACATTTACGGTATATATACTAGTGCACCAGATGTGCATTTCTACAATTAATGTCTATTTAATGATTCTCGAAGACACTATATTTAAAAATCCGAAACCTAATACAAAGGTTGAAGAGCTGATAAAACAAAAACAAAACAAAACAAAACAAAACAAAACAAAAGTAAAGCCAAGCATGGACAAGGAATTAGAGCTATGCGTGAGGGGAATACATTTATTAATTTAGATGATTTCGAAATTTAAAAAAAATAAATTTAAATAAATCAATATCCTTATTCCCATGATAGTACGAAGGTTCTGGTGACTGGGCTAAAGATACTTTCGTTGACTATCAGTACCCCATCAGATGCATCCTCCCCTATGGTAGTAATAATATTTGCGAGGGTACAAATTTTACTGCATCAGATACACATTTCGACAATGTAAAGATATCCTTTAGATAAGTTTGTTGAAATTATTTTTCATATTATTTATAGATAGATATAGATTCTACCACTGCTTCGATTGCGATACGATATGTATCCACACGAGCGTTTTAAATATTTAAAATTTAATTTTCGTGAGTGGAATCTGTTTCTCTTATGATTTTAGACGATTTGCAGACAAAAGTTTATTCTTCGTTTCGAATGATCTGCAAAAATATCAGTTCTTTCAATGTGACGTCTCCTTTTTTCATGACTGCACAATATGATTTTAGAGGAAAGCAAGACAATTTGACGTCATAATCGAATTTTGACCAATGAAGAATTGACATTAAACGAACAACCCGTTGATTAAATAAAAATAATCAACAGGTCCGGAAAAAATCGGGTAAGAATTAGAGAAATGATTTTATACTGTTGATCATAAACACAGTATTAATGGACGAATTTCTGCATTCGTCTCACAATGACAAAACAAATTTAACACAACAAGATTTTGTGTATTATTGATCAATTTTGTAAAATTCTTTTTCTATTAATGTTAATGTTCAAAGAATAGTTTAGTCTTAGATGCTTTTTTTTTTATTAGCAGTTATCAGCTTTGAAACACTGTAAATGCGAGTACCCTCATATCTGTACATTGTGTCTTTTTTGTTTTTTTTTTTGCTTTGTATCAATCTGATGAGTTGAGCCCTTTTCAACTACTTTTTTTAGTTTTTTCTTATGTTGTATGTTACACAACTGTCCCAATTTGGGGGAGGGTTGGCGCCTCCAAACATGTTAAACCCCACCACATTCTATATGTGCCTGTCCGAAATCAGGAGTCTGTAGTTCAGTGGTTGTCGTTGGTTCATGTCTGTCATATTTGTGCTTCGTAAATTGTTTTGCTAAAAATTAAGCCGTTAGTTTTCTCAATTAAATTGTTTCATATTTTTCATGTCGGGGCTTTTTATAGCCGACTATACGGTATGAGTTTTTCTCATTATTGAATGATGTACGGTTGCGTATAACTGCTTAAATCCCCCTCATTTGAACTTAGGATGATAGTTGTCTCGTTGGCAATCATGATACATCTCCTTTTTTTTATATTTCTTCACAATAATTTACAAGTATTTCTTACTATATAATTTTTTAACCTGCAACATAATTCCATTATTTTCAAACTAATGTATGCGAATCATATATGTGAAACTTTTCTTGGAATGGTGCGATTATTTTAAGATTTTAAGCTTAATTAATATAACACATAAATTGCGGTCTTGTAGTAATATATGAATATATAAGCTATGTACCTGATGGTATAAACAAGTACATTGAATTTTTTACTCATAAATGACTTGAGTATTTTAAAACTCATTAACAATATGAAAACTATATGTAAAAAATATTTTTTGCAACATTGTAGAAAGATAAAATAAAAGCAAGTATAAACTTATACTCGATTACCATTATAATCATCAAATTTTACTCTTTGTACAAATTTCTGTAAATTTTCTATTTCATTTGTTACCTGTGTGACCTAGGGCGAAATCAGATCTAGAAACAGCTCGATTCCGTCAGTCATTCCGTCTTTCGTTCCGTACGTCCGAAATACACAAAGAATGCCTAGCTCTTGTGTCATCTGTTTTTCAAATGGAAAAGGGAATTCCTTTAAAATCATACAAACATTCCATAGTCATCACACACATATTTAACATGTGTATCTCCTTTTTTATCATTTTTATCACAGTTTTTCTAATCTTTGAACTTTGCTATTTTTGTCAAAGAATATAAAATTCTAGCCAGTAAGTACTTAGTTCTTGCAATATGTAACTCTAATATTATCCGCCAAGAATGTTCAAACTAAGCGTAGTTATCGAGTACAGACTTTTGAATTAACTATATCAATTCCTGAATCAAACTATATCCAATCTTTATGTAGCTAAAGGCCGACCTTCAAAACACAACAGTGCTACACAGGCCCTGAAACGGTATTGGTCTTGTTTAGTTACGTGTTGAAGCAAGTATTTAAAATGTGAATACATTAATCTTATATAATAAATTATTCGGATAGAACCCTCTTTCAACAGTTCAATTATACTTTAATGTTTAAATAAATAGGCAAACAATTCTGTTCCTTTCGTTTCAAATTTAACAGACAGTGAAGTTAAAAGAGTCATGTACCAAGACATATATATTTGTATATCTTTATCCCTTTTTAAACTCGGTTTTTTTTTATTCAGTGCTGTTGTACTGGTTTAAAAAAAACATTGTCCGTGCAATAGTTATACATAAATATCCATTTCGCATACCAGTACAGCCAAAACAATAATTGTCATCCATTTGTAGCAGCAGTTTCTCATCATATCAAAAAATGCATATTTGTAATAAAATAAACGATCAACAGTATTTTCAAATGTGTAGAAAATAATGCAAATTTTATATTTTATCATAAAATTTAAATCTCTTTTTAATAGAATGTCCCAAGATTTATGTTTTTGCATGCAAGAAAAGAGTCGATAGCTGCATTAAATGTTTGCTAATAAAGCCAAAGATCAAAGATATAGTTTCTCTTTTTTAATGTTTTTGTTCTGATGTTTATTCACATTTTTCATCTTGTACACCGGTAATAAATCAGGACTTACAATTTCCAACAAAATAATAACAAGAATTATTGTACGGTATGAAATTTTTATATTCCAGTTGAAAATATATGTTATTTGTGTTGAAATTCAGACATCAGATAATAGGTCTGTCAAAAGCAATATCGGAAATTGTAAAGACCATTTTTTAGTTTCAAACAACAGAAAATCCAAGGAGATATTCATAACTGTAGGCTTTTATATGCAGCAAACCTTAGACTTTTGATACAGAGCAGTTCTATCTTATTTCATGATAAATCTCGTTCATTAAGTTTGTTTGTTTTAATGTAAATTTAGGCCTCATATGTTACTTGGTATATTTTGCAGGGTCTTGCCGTGGTAACTCTGGTAAACGTGGAAAAAAATGTACGATGGATAGAAGTTGTGAGGGACATGAAAAGTGTTGTTATCGAAGATGCCGAAATTGTTAAGGATCTTTATCTTGTCAAACATTAGTTCGAAATGATTAGTTTTAAGAAACTAAAATCATTAGGAAACATCATTGTAAATTATACTTCTATTTTAAAATATAAAAAAAAGCTTCAGTTAAGTTTTTTTTTCATATACAGTGTTAATTTTTATGTTAACATAGTACACAATCAAATAATACATAATTTTATAATACACATTATGTTTATATTTCAAAAACGTTTTCGTCAATAACGACAATTATATTCTTTTCTTCTGATTTTTGCCATTTATTTGGTTCTCTAACAAAACAATTGTGTATTTGCTGTATCTATTCTCACCAACAGTAAAAGAGGGACAGCTAAAGTACTAGGACATGGTGACAGTATCGAGGGATTTGAATTGTATATGGGTTTGTAAAATTGCACAATATTAATCAGATACTTCTTAACTTGAACATTCTAATGCACTCAACTTTTCCTTTTGATACATTTAACACCTCAAACACAAACGATTACAATTTAACTTCGCTAAACTTTCGCAGTATATTCTTATCTAGGTTATGGACCTACACAAAAAGCTTAAGATATCCAGGTGAAAATCGAGTTGTGTACCAGACTGCTGGTTCAGCCACTATTGAAAAAAACGAAAATCAGTTGTCCGAATGGTACGAGATATGAAACTGACCTAGACTAAAAAATGGCGGGAAAATGCATAAACATGTTAAGTAAGGACAATTTGATAATTTAGAAACGAAAGAATACAAACACAAAAGGTGTTGCAAATATATATGAAACCTATGAACATCACAAACAGAAAATCACCGTAACAAAACTGAATATACCCTGGAATGCATGAAAACTTATGTTTGTTTTTTTATGCCATTTATTAACAAGGAGAAAGATTTCAATAAAAATGACATTTATTAAAAACGACGTACACAGTTATTCACAACAACAGGAGAGTTCATCGTACAAAGTATAATAATTAAATGCACCTGATTTAAAGTATCTGTTAATTAAAGAAAAACAGCTTGAATAAAGATAACGTACAGAAAATGGGACTAACAAAAAGGTGGCAATATATCAAATCAATAATAACATTAAACAATAATGAAACTATTATTTTATAAACAATGTGGAAAGTTATTGAGGTTGGTAGAGGTTTCAAAGATTTTCCAATGAACAGTTTTGAACCATTTTTTTCTGAAACGAAAACAAAAAGCCTCATAACAAATCTGGTATTTACTTAGTTCGCGACATATAAAGATTGCTTAATTATTTAATACACACTCAGTTCAGATATAGAATGATTTATTCAAATGAAGGTTGTCCACATTAACATAATTTAATTTACTTTTGTCAGTTTGATTTTACTATTTAATTTATTTGCTATGGCCTAAATTGACCCTAAATTATTTTCAGTCTTACTTGGCCTAAGACCATTTTGTACTCATATGATGTACTATTTGTAATTTTTCTTTCCGTGTAAAGTACATTAAATACATATGGAAGGATTATTTTTAACAAAAAAATTTCACAAATTTAAAATTGCTGGAAAATATTACATCTTCATGTAAGGCCCCCCTTCATTCAAAAACCTTCAATTTCATTCACAGGCTCGTATAAATTTTACTTTTGAATAATTGTAATAAATCTGATACATCAAATGAGTGTTCTTTTGCTTTTAATACATGATATTTTAAATATTAGGGCATTTAAAAAGTTATTTTTTACAATTTTTGAATTTTTAAAGCCCTAAATGTTGATAGTTGAAATTCTTCAATTTTAATGTCAAAAGCTACACAGTTATGTCCTTTGATTTTCATTGTCTACAAATATAGTCCCTAGTGTGGACACTGTGTTACTTGCTATTTTTGTATACCCCTTCCATATTTATTTCTTCATGTTTTATGCCTCAAATAGCAAGTAGGGGGATGTAATTACACTGTAAAAAAATTTGGTCATGAATTTTAAAGTAAAGTTGTGATTTGGTCCAGCTAAAAAAGGTTAACAATTAGTATTTCGGAAGCTGTCAAAAGAATTCAAGACCCCCTTAACATGAAATTGTCCATATTTCGAGTTAGAGCTGATGAAGTTTTCTATAATTTTGATATAATTTGTCCCAAAAGTATTACACCACATTGTAAAAATATTCATGATAATGTTGAGAAAGCGCAGGTGGGATTTTTTAATTTTCATTTATTGTCTAAAAGAAATCACTATGAAATAACTGTGTTCTCGGGCCATGCTTGAATGCTTTCTCCTACCTAAATAAAAGTTGTTGTAATTGTGATTTTCATGGAATATAATTTTAGAGTACTTACACAATACATATAAACTAAAGAGTCTTTAGAGTCAAAGCTATTATTTGAATAAAAAATTCCCTCTTGGTATTGATCTTTAAACTATTTGCAAAAAAGAATTAATAGGGTTGACAGTCTAGCCTTTGCAAGCAACTTTAGATTCGAAATTTTAATTAAAAAGTTTTTTTATAAACACTATGAAATACAGTGGAGAAAACAAATGCACAATTGTGCTGATAGGAAGCTTTGTAGCTATAGCACTTTTAAGACTCATTTTGGTCTTGAAAGATATCTTACTTTATTACAATTACCTGAGCAGAGGAGAAATTTCACTCGATTGCGTATTTCTTCTCACAGACTAAGAATTGAACAAGGTCGCTATCAGGGTACTCTCCGGCAAGACAGAATATGTCTCAGGTGCACCTCAAATGAAGTTGATGATGAAAAACATTTTTTATTTTCGTGTACATCATCTCAAGATAAGAGAAATTGTTTAAATTCCACTATTAACTCACTATGCCCAAACTTTACGCATTTGATTCCTAGCCAAAAACTGATATGGCTTCTTAATGTAGAGAATCTTGATATCTTGATATCTGTCTGTGAGTTAGTTGATGAAGACAAAATATAACTTGAAAGATAAATATTTAAATCAGGCTTTCTGCACTAGGCACGAGGTTGGCATGGTGGGGTACAGGACACATCGTACAAGTTCTATTACTTTTCTGTTTGTGATATTTTTTTTATTAAACTGGTAATATTTTATCTTTTTGTAATATGTGCACTTTGGCATATCAATTAGCATTGTCCCTTGGTGCCTCTTGCAGTTGTGTCAATATAAATAGTACTGACTCCTCTGCACCAGGCACGAGGATGACATATCAATTATTACAATATCTTACCATATCATTAATCATGTTAATGTCCCGATACACATTTTAATATGCACCCACCATGCCATATAGCACCGTCCCTTGGTGCCTCCTGTAGTTAAGCTAGATATATTTAGCCTACTCACAGAATTCTTTTTTGTTACTTTCAAGAGGTCGGCCTGAGACGAAGGTTTTATACATACCCCTATATATCACATGTATATATACGAATATGTGAAAACTGTTGTTTCTTATTTGTGTTTGTAACTATCATGACTATGTATACTGTATTGTTTATCATATTTGTAAAAATAATATTATAATGATATTATATTATGCTCCTTGTGAGCCCATTTGATGGAAATAAAGCATCTTCTTCTTCTTCTTCTTCTTCTTCTTCTTCTTCTTCTTCTTCTTCTTCTTCTTCTTCTTCTTCTTCTTCTAAAGAAACAAGTCCATTCTTTTTGTAGATGATTCCCAGCTAGAAAAATGAAGCAGTCTACAAATGATAAATGTGCACTTATGATTTGTAGGAAATATAGCTGTCAATCGCTTGGTAGTTGCAAGTTATGAAAGAGTTGATGAATTCATAATTTTGTGTATGTTATTCATTGTTTTTGGAAAAAATGAATAGCTCAAACAGCATTGTACAGTAGTACTACCATGAAGTGTTGTTAGGATTAAACTGGAAAAGAAGCAAATAGTGCATTGAATAAATAGCAAACCAATAATTTGTTAGAAAGATCATACAACTGGATAGCTGTTAATGCCTTGGATAATTATTCATTTGAAATAGCAATTTGGAATTATAAGAATTCAAAGTCTTAGTGCATATATTTGTAGTGCATCATACATGTATCTGAATTTGATTAGTGCCTTGGATAAATATTCGTTTGAAATAGCAATTTGGAATGACAAGATTTTATAGATTCAGTGAATATTTATATTATAGTACATAGTCACCATACTGGCATTTTATTCTGGTCAAGCATACTAACAATACTTCAAAGTATCATTTTATTTATATGACCATTGATCACAGTTATTAAACAAAATTTAGACAACAATAATCATTCAATTACATGTACATGTTATTATATTCATGATATTGTAGTCTTGTATAATATAAAATAAGGAGATGTGATATGATTGCAAGTGAGATAACTATCAACCAGAGACCAAATGAGATAGATGTTACATGTAGCAACTTTATGTCGTCACTGTACAGTCTTCAAGGATGAGTAAAACTGATACTGCATATATATAGCAAGCTATTAAAGGACAGACATAAAAAAAACATAAAAACAATTCAAAACTGAAACCCAACATGCCCAACAGCCTAGTTTATGTACAATATGTATGAAAAACAAATATGATGTTGCAACGAACAACCACCACAACAACCGCTGAAAATTTGCCTACCAAATTTAAGTAAGGGTGATTGTAAGTCATATTCTTATTCTAGACTTAAAATTAGTATTTGCTTCTCCTCAGTATACATGACAAAGCACATAGCATTCAGGAAAAGAGTTGAATGTCTATCACCAAACTCTTTCGTTTTGAGGTAGCATGCTTAAAATCTAGTTAAACCTAGATCGGTCTACTACAAATTAAAGCAGGTTTCTTACATACATGTATAAAAATGGTGTCCTTAATATGCATAGTGTTTTGGATTGATGTAAAGCCTCCTTCATTCATTGGAACAAAAAAAACATGTGAATACCTGTGTTAATAGAGGTCACCAGCTGGGGTCGAAGTCACATTTAAAAAAAAAAGTTCAGTAAAGGCTATGATTCAATACCAGTAATTCATAGATGGTAATAGTATGTCCCATTATTTGACCGGATTGAAGAAGTCCAAAACTTTCTTGTGGTCTGAATAGGAGCTCCTTGAACATGTTAATTTCTGTATTCTTTAAATTTGTAGATCAATTTTCATCATCTTTGAAAAAAGTGTTAATTCAGTTGAATTCTTTTGAAAATCATTTTACTATTAAATTTTATTATACCCCTGCTTTAAAAAAGTGGAAGTATACTGTTTTACCTCTGTCTGTCCGTCCGTCTATCCATCTGTCCGTCAGTCCGTCCGTCCGTCCCATGAATATTTTTCGTCGCATCTTTCTCAGGAACTACACTACAGGGATTTCTGAAATTTGGTTTCAGGGTTTATATAAGTCAGCTATAACGTGTGATGTGTTTTCAGATTCATCACTCAACAACTTCCTGTTTACCGTCAAGTATTTGGGCGGGGGTATCATCAGTGAGCAGTAGCTCACAGTTTCACTTGTTATGCCCCTGCAGTAGCTGAGGGGGCATTAAGTTTTACCCTTGTCCGTCTGTACGTACGTCCCAAAATTGATTTCCGTTCTCTAACTTTAGTTTGCCTTAACCAAATGTTATGAAACTTATACACAATGCTTATTACTACAAAACACAAATCAAGTGTGAATTTTGGAGTCGTCACTGTTACCGTTGTAGAGTTATGCCCCTTTACAAATGGGAAAATTGCTGAATTTTTCATTTCCGTTCTTTCACTTTAGTTTGCCTTAACCAAAAGTTATGAAACTTATACACAATGCTTATTACCACAAAACTCAGATCAAGTACAAATTTTACAGTTCTTGGGTTTTATCCTTTTATAATGTTATATGCAAGCGGGGGCATCATCTGTGTCCCATGGACACATTCCCCATTTATTTAATTAGTTATACAAGTATATGATTTCTTTATTTTTACATCATTCATTTCTGTAATCAGTTTTGTAATTTTTATTTACAGCCGTTATTCTTTATACTTTGGCACCCCATTATTCTCTATTCTTTATATTTTTCCCCATTATTCTAGATTGATTTAACCCCATCCAGACCTACATTACTGCGGATTCTTATATTTTAGCAAATTCACTTCAGGAAAAATTGTATTCTTGTGGATATTTAATTTAGTGGGTTTGCCCATGGAAGTATTATATTGACTTCCATGGTTTGCCAAAGTCTAAATACAATTCTTTAGAAAATGTGTACTTCGTTGAACTTTTAATTTTGTGCTTTATCTATTACCACGAAATCCAATATTTGGTATCCCAAACACTAATGAATACAAAGAAGCAGACATCCACCCATCAACCAAGAATTAAAAAAATGTCTGAAGGTCAACATTTACTTATAAAAAAGTTTTTTTGGATTTTAACTAGAGAATAAAAAAAATAAGATGTGGTATAGTAGTTGCCAATGAGACAAAGACCCACCAGAGACTAGATGACCTTGAAGTTAAACAACAGGTCACCGTACGGCCTTCAGCAATGAGTATAACCAAGAATGTATTTATAAATCCTTGGCAAAACCCAGACAGCATATTTTCTCCAAAGAAAATTTGGTCACAAAGATTGAACCTCCCAGACTGTAATTTTGTAAAATAACCTATTTCATCTCGATTATGATTCATTGCATGCACTGCGTTTCTTATTTTAGTCTCATAGACATTCACACGATACATAGACCTTTCAATTTGCATTTATAGTGCATAAAATTTCCGTTTTCAACTGATTTTACCGGTCCATGTAACCACGTTCCTCCTTGCTCTTTAACGACGACGAACACCTAAAAATACAATTGCATGTACCACCAAACATTTTTGGTGTTATTTAAGCATGTATGCATATATTTCAAATATGTTGTTAATATCTGTTTCCTTGTCAACCATGTCAAACCACTTATAACTACAACAAACACATTTTCGGGAGACGGATTTATAAAAGTTTTTCCAAACTTGTTTCCGAATCCCATATTTGAATTTCATGTACCATTGTACTACTTAATTGTTATAATTTTTCATTAATAAATACTGTTTAAACTAAACACATTTAATTTGCCGCAAACTTTATATTTACTACAGTTATGCCGTCGACTGGTTAAGTCCTTCGGCCATCGGATGTAAAAAGCAAAACTAATGAAATCAGGATTTAAGTTATTTTTTGTAAATAATTTGTGAAAGGGAACCCGCACGGGCTACGATTACCGGCAAAGAGTAACAATAAGAAATAATTATTGTTACTTCCGAGACTAGTTGCCGAAATGTTTTTAAGGACAGGGACCTGATTTCACACGGAAATTGCAGGAAACAATAATATCGTTTAAATACAAATATATGATTTTGATTTTGACACCATTCATAAAATATCACATTTTTTCTGGTTCAATAATCACAATTTACAAAAAAATACCGTTACAGATCCGGACACGTGCCAAACTGCCCCTTTTAAATTTGATTTTACAACTTTACAAGAGAAGAAAGGCGAAGGATACCAAAGGGACAGTCAAACGCATAAGTCGAAAATAAACTGACAACGCATTGATTAAAAAGGAAAAAGACAAACAACAGCACACAAAATTAACCTAGAAAACCAAAGACTGAGCAACACGAATTCAAACCCCACCAAAAACTTGGAGTGATCTCAGGTGCTCCGGAAGGGTAAGCAAATCCTGCCCCACATGTGGCACCCGTCGTGCTGCTCATTCAAGTTCAAACCCGGTGATATGTCTAATCCTGTAGGTCATATATATGTGAAACAGATATTCGATAACGGTCAACCAACTCGTGATCATGATGGCGTCCGTAAAATTTATAAGATACGCAATTATTTCTTGATTATATTGAATTTTGAACATTTACTCAATAGCTACATTCAATTCACAAGTGTACGATGCATTTAAAGTTGTTTTAGTTAATAGTGCATTTTAGATGCACCTTAATATCACCCTTCCAGTCTTAGAAGGTCGTAGAAGTAGCCTGGCATCCTGGTTAACCTCTTTTTTGCGTCGGTACGAATCAAATCGACATGTAACCGAATTTATGTGACAATTTAAAAGATTCCAAACAAGGTAAAATGGTCCGTTCGATGTTTACATGTAACAGATTGGTATAATATAGTTCGGCATTTCTATGGGTTACACGTCAGTATGACAGCAACCGAACGACAGAAAACAACCAAAAGACATCTTGAGAGCAGCATGGAGTATTCAACAAAAGACCGGAGTATTAGACATGATCATGATGATAGAATATAGCAAGCTCTAAATTGTCCAAAGTTTATAAAAAAAAAATCAAAACAACAAGTTAATAATTTCATGTGTATTAATGTCATTATCAAATTGTGAATAAATTGTGAATAAGTCAAAACAAAAGCAATCAAAAATCTGCATGAGACGATGGTCAGTTTCTTTCTTTGAAACAGGTTTACGTCTATCAAAATCACTCACAAGAGTTTTTGTGTCGGACATATATTTGTATCCATTCAAGCACGGTAGAGATGTGGTATGATTGTCAATGAGACACCTATCCACCTCAGTTCATAGGAAGTGGATGTAAACAATTATAGGCAACCGC